AATCGCAGTCAGCCATTCAGGAATCCCTAATCTTGTGAAAAGCAGAGTCCGGTCGTAGCAAATTGCAGTTTGATACAAAATAGCCACAAAGAGACGGCAGGAGCGATTCACATGGACGCAGGAACGAGGGAGGAAAAAAAAACCTTTTGCTGGAAAGGCACGCGATCCAAAGTGCTGCGGAGATAAATTCCTTTCTCCTTTCTTCCCCTTGCTCCTTTACACTCCCGTCTTCGTCGTTTAAGGAGTGGAGGGAAAAAAAACTGAAGAGCCGGATTTTCACATCTATATTCTTAAATAAGCCTCATCATCGCGCCCAGCAGCAAAAGCAAACCGCGTCGCCGAATGAAGTGCCCATGTATAGTTTCACCTCTCTCCAGCAGGAGGAATGGAGATACGACGAGAAAAGATGAAAAAAAAGAAGACCAACAGCAACAACTAATAGAATATGCAAGAAGAAGGAGAGACCCAAAAAATGAATGCGCTTAAACGGGAGGACCAGCAGAGCAATGTTTCCGAAACGAGGGATCTGCGCGAATGTCTGTATATAGTGAACTTTGACACTACTATTGAAACTGACACGTTTCTATGGAGATCGCTGCGCCTTATATGGTGCTCGTGTCAAGGAGCCAAGAGAGGGGCTGCTGGAGACTGATAATCAAAGGCGACTGACTGGCCAGAGCCCTGCATAGAGGAGGAGGATAGGAGGAGAGGGGGGAGATAGGGAGAGAGAGAAAATGGGAGGCTAAGGTTATAGCCAAGCCCTCTCTTTCTTTCTATTGGTTAGAGTCCCCCTCTGTTCATTCACTGCAAAAAATGTCCATCTCGACAAGTCATCCGGTCCCGTGTTCAAATCTTTAAATGTTATATTTCTTATTAAACACAGTACAAAATAGCCAAGTGCCGATTACGCGCATCCGCTTGTTTCCAACCGCTATCGCGTTTCATTTTACAGGTGCCAATACAATGAAATAAAGCCAAGTACACAAGGATATCCCCTTTGTAAATGAACAATCGATGTAATAACATTTACATTGACGGCTTGATTAGCATTGCATGGCACAAGTGGGAGCATCTCACGTTGATGGAAGATCCAGTCTCCTCTTTTGGTAAATTCAAGATTTTCCGACTCAATACTGAACAGACTAATGTCTGGGCATGGATATTTTTTGCAGTGTTGCAATCTACGGCTGGAGGGGCTGGGGGGCTTTGACAGGCACAATTTACATTGAGCTCGCCCCGCGCTGCTATTTACTTTGAAACCTGATTAGTATGGGCCGTCTATTGTCACCAAAAAGAGGAAGAAACCCTGAATAGAATAGCAGAAAAAGCGGGCTAAAGGCAAAAGGGGACAAAGCTTTTTTACGCACGACAAATAGTCCAAAAACTAGGCGCAACGGCGAAAAGGGGACTATGGCTCAGAAATTCCCCCGAAGTTTCAAAATGGTCTGTCTTAGACTCGTATCTTTATTATAAAATGAACGGGTGCCGGTATTATTTCGAAGCGAATTGAAATGCCCACACATTGTTGCCTCGTTGGCATGCGCATTGCGGTACACCCTCGTCTATAACCGGCACAGTCTCGCCGATTAAAACTTACAATGTATTTAAAACTAGATATGAAGGTTAACAAAATGCCAACAGGGAAAATAATGCAGAAAAGACAATGTGTTATACAAACGGGACGTCGTGCGAGCGGTCGAAAATCTCTAAAATTAGACCGAGTAATAAGCAATATTCCATAATTACTGAGGTCCTATAGTCTTCACAATCACTGAGCTGGTGTCATATTATGTCTTAATAATGACAGTAATTCAAAATCATGCAAAGTTGCATGGAATTTACATGGGGATTCCGGCTTTTTGTGTGACGGTTTCTGCAGGCTTACCACCTCGAACTCAAAAATGTCTGGATCGCGCTGCCATCTAGCGTACATTGTACAATTACAACCATATATATTAATGCATGCACGAGTCATCAAACATGAATTTTTAAAACATAAAAGTTGATTTTAGAAATGAAATAAGAAACGTTTTGCGTACCATTTCCCCTTCTATTATTTTACTTTCTCAAAACAGCATCCCTTTGATGTTCAGGTCGAATGACATAGAAAAAACCTGTTATGGACAACAATGAATAAAGTAGTTTTTTTTTAATTGAAATATTGTTAGTCCCCAAAATGTACCATCTATTTGACTGGATGTGATTTAGATGGAACACACAGTTAAATAGATGTGCGTTAGTCGTTATCAAAAACAGTGTATTAACACTATACTGTAAAAGACTAATCGTTACCTAATACAAACCGTATGTCGTACAAATAAACCAAGTTGTTGTAAACAAGCTTCAACCAAGCTAAGAAATTAGCAGGTATAAGAGAGCCTAAATATGCAAGTGCCCCCTTTCAAAGCGCATAGGAGGGATGGGTTGTTTTTTAAGTATTCAAGAGCTCTCTCTCCCGTCCCTGTCTCGGACACTCCGCTAAAACTCCCCGGCCACATCTCCAGCTCCTCGAAAAGGTGAAACCAATAACATTAAATCGGACAAAGATTTTTTTTTCCCCCCTCCAGTGAGTGTATCATTAAGATTTAACTCGGCAGATTGGAAACGGGGCTTCGCTCGATGCGAGTAGAACGCGAGGCGCAGCGAATGGGAGCGGGCTATAGGGGCACCAGTGCAAAGCCCGGAGACGGCCAGAGGAGAGCAAGAGGGAGAAAGTGGACAGTCGGACATTAAAAGAAGAAGCACCGGCGACGGCGGTAAACCGAGGAGCGGCTTTCTGCCTGCATGAAAGCAGCCCGCGATAAGGCAAGTACATTATTAATTCCTCACTTCTCCTGGTTTGCACACGCGCTCCGAGCGCAGCGCTCAACGATCTGCGTCACGCCGCAGGACCGTTAACTTTAAACCGGGTCGCCGAACTGGGTAGTGTCAGAAACTTTTGAACAGCGGAGAGTCGTAATCTTTGCCCCACATCACCACCGTTTATGCGACCCGTCCCCCGTCCCCCCTCCCCATCCACCCCCCAAACACCCCCTTATTCCCGCTGCCCTCGGTGATTTGCACACCAGATAGAAGTGACTCGAGGCGAGGAGGTCGCGCCGCTGGACACGGGAGCGTTTTTCTCCTGTGTGCACGTCTCACCTGCAAGTCTATTTGTTGTTTCAACACATAGTGAGAAGATCGATAGCGGGCTGTTTATTCCAGCGACGGTGTCGCCAGATTAAAAAGGGGGATCAAGTTGAACATGCGTTGCTCTTCTTTTACGCTGTTTTCAAAGTGCACTTCAGCCACAAAAGAAGGCAACTATTTTGCGCCAAAAACAAAAGCTTGTGAACGGGTAAGAACGCGTTGTTTTGTAGAAAAGTCTGCAGCGAAGACGCGTACGGAGACAATGGTATTTGTAAAGCAGCGTTATTGATATTAGGAGTTTTAATGAAAACGGATCTAGAATAAATGATGAAGCGGTTTTGGCCATGTTAATTTATTCAAAGACAAACTGCACGCCAATCCTCTTCGTAAAATAACCTCACATAAAAACATTTAACTTAATGTTGTAGAAGTGTGGATACAGTTCGTGCAAATTCATAATTTCACCTGAGCAAAGTGACATTTTTTTTAAATTTCCACAACTCCATGTATTCTATTTTTTGGACAACAAACTGTGCATAATGCGTCTATTAAATTATTGAAAACGTGTTGAGAATTACATAATCACATTATTATTAAACATATCTTGCAGGTAATGGATGCATTCGCGCATTAGTAGCCGTCTTACTGTAATCCAGTGCTTTGCTTTCCAGCAGATAATTAGTGTTCTTGCATATTCAAATTCTATCTGACTTTTTTTTCCATCCAAATCCAAAATGAATAATCTACAGACCCTAATCTACAGATGATAATGAAACTGTTTAAATTATCCCTGCGGTATGATAGTTTTGTCAAATTACCTCATCGTTAGGGATAGAGAACACATAACAGTTTTACCAAATCTGTGGATATCAATAACTGACGCTCTTTTTACACAAAAAAAGTAGGACGTTGTAAAGTTCCCATAGTGCTGAAACCATTAAGCAGCATTCATTTGGGAAAACACTGAGGTCATAAGTGCCAGCTCGCCCCAATAAAACTAAACGTGACTATACGGACGCGTTTTAGAGCATTTAAAATGATGCAAACGAATTTAGGGACTCTGGAATGCCAGGTGGTCTGTTTGTTGTTCAGTTGTTTGTCAGCACATCAGGGTTACAAGCACGTCATATTATTAAAGACATATTATATGGGTTTAGAGGTAAATTAGTTGTTTTTTTTCATCTGCTCACAACGCCTCCTGCGTGTGGCACAGCAGTGTTGCGTTTGAGGACTTCGGGATGGCCGGCCACGTCCAGCTGAGGCTTCAACGTCTTCATGCAAAATATAAAACGATCAAAGTGATGGGCACCTCGGGGCTCGTTCCACGCATTTATGTTATTGTCCTGGCTGAATAATAGAGAGAACGAACCTCTAAGAAGGATGTAACAGTTATTGGACTGTTTGTATATAAGAAGTTAAGATGTCTTCAGTATGAGTAAACACCTTTGACACATTGCGATTTAGTGAAGGATGGTAATTTGTAGAATATTTGATACTGTTTGATACATTTCCCAACCACGTGAGCTGGAGCTTTACCGCAAGTTGTTTTACTTCTGGCATTAACAGAACATATGTCACATCATAGATGTCACATGGACGATCCATCAAGACAATGCGTACGTTTAGTCCCTCGTCTATAAACAATATGCTTTGAGTAAATTAGTTTTAGTCACCATTTTACTTTAGGGTTCTTGGTACACAAAAACAGTAACCATGTGCTACTATTTGAGAATGTTCTAACAAAAAAAAATCCTGCCTGTGTCTTGGAAGGTGGAGCGAGGGGTGTGAGTGTGTGAACAGGGGTGGGGGGGTTTGGAGGGTGTATAGTGAGGGGTGGGTGGGTGGTGGGGGGAAGAGGGCGGGGGGGGGGGGGGTCAAATCTTATCCCCAAATTATTCCGGGGCTCAGATTGGTGTGAATGGGACGAGAAGGTCACTTGAAATCGCCTTTTATCCGCTGGCTTTTTTTTTTTGGATCAGCAACTTTCAATAGACATAATCTAATCGCCCTTAATGGAAAGGCCATTCGTGAGAAATAATGGAATTATTCTTGTGTTTATACAGGCCATCGAGGCATTTAAAAGGCAACAAGAGTTCACAAAATTTCTTGGTTATTAATTATTACTGATAACTGAAAAGTGTCCCCCCCCCCACAGGATGGGTTTATATATAAACTTATTGCATATTTATGGTATTACAATTACCTTGTTAATATATTATTTCATTATTATAGTGCAATGCAAGTTTTTACGACTATTGCTATAAGTCATATTTTTGCCCTCAATGGACTGTAGTTTAACTGTACTATTACATTACCCCAGTGTGAATTATCCTAGTTTGTATGGAGATATCATTGTCTATTCTCTCATTATTTTTAACATGTCCTCGCCTCTCCCGGGATTTGAGATCCTTCAGTTTTAGACGTAATGATTGAAAGTCTCTTTCCAGGATTTTAGCATCCCGGACTGTAATTGAGGACAATAACTGCAATGACTTTCCAAATTAGGCTTAAGGTTGGAGTAAAAGTTCGAGGGGCTGTCAGTTTAAGCCACATGCAATGGCTTTATTGCTCACTAACCATCAGTACTTTAGAGCCCATATGCTAATTACTGCGGATGGTCCCAGAAACGGAGATTATAAATCCATTAGCACCCAAACCCTCGTGGTTCCACACTGCAAACCCTGTAATTCTGTAGTATACCCCCCCGCACCCCCCCCCCCCCCCAAAAAAACAAACTTTAAGCACCAGGAGCTCCATGAAGGGAAACAGATTTTCAGCAGCGCGTGCAGCTACTTCTAACGGACCCACTGCGAAGGGAAGCCCAGCGTTTATCAATCAGCAGCTACACCGAAACACACACAGCAAAACAAGCAGAACACCACGGTAACTGACAGGGGGGGGGGGGGGACTGCCCACTCGGTGGCCAGTGGTAATGTATAAAAACAACCTGTTTGTATTACCATGAATGATCAACACAACACGCCCATAACACTGTGGTGGAGAAATCATTTTTTCACCCCTCATTACCATTAGGGACGTGCAGAGTGTCCAGGGAGCGACGCCACATAACGGAGGAAAGTGAATTAAAATTAGACGACGTAATACCCGTTTGACCGCGTTTAATGTGGGGAATAGAAGAAAAAACCCAACGGAACCCAGACGGGTTTATGTGAATGCATCACGCCCTTAAAGTAATTTATTTCAGGGAAACCAGAGGGCAAAGGTGGAATTCTTGAGAAATTCAACAAGGATAAGGGAGCTTTAAGACTTCTGCACGCAGATTACCTTTCATCCCATTCTCACATTATCCGACAACACACAGTAGAAATGTAGCTCAGCGACAAAAGAGTGAGATTACCCTCCGACACTGAAGAGTGCAAAACATTTTTTTTAAAGAATTATTGCCATTGTTAGTGGGAGCGAACGAGGAGAGAGAGAGAGAGAGAGAGAGGGGGAGGGAGAGAGAGAGAAACGGACAGATAGGGCAGGGGAGGAAGAGGGGGAGTCAAGGGAAGGGTAATTCCCTGTGTGCTTTCAAAGGGGGAGACAAAAAAAATAAAACGATTGCCGTTCAGAGAATTTCTTGCCACTGTCGTAGTGTTGTAGTGAAGGATCAATTCAGTTTAAAAGAGTTTACCCTTGTTATTCCCATAAAACACTATATCTGTAAAGATGACTTGAGGATGAGATTAATTCTCTTCTGATGACAGACTTTGTTTACACTGTTGGTTCTGATGCCTGCAAAGATTATTGAAACAGGATCAGTTTTTGCCTCTTTTTGGTTCAACTTGTTTAACTTCTGGTTTGTAACTTCAGTAAATGAGTGGCATCGCATCAGCACTGCATTATTTTTGCTCTACCCTCCCGCGGCCCCCCAAAAAACAACAACACACAGCAAGGGCTAAATTGGAAATGCATTGTAGCTGAACCATCAGTATGCCAGAGCTAAGACTGACTGAGCACACAGCCCTGTTTACATCAGTAAAGAGAAAACAGAAGAAAAGTCCTCACAAACTGTCCGAGGAAGATTGTCTTTGATTGAACTGTTCGTTTACATTTGTCAAGCTTGAAAATATTTCATGTCATGAATGACACTTACAGGGTCATCAAGTTAGTTTCACTTTAATCTTAACCCACCTAAAAAAACCCTAAAAATATGTTTTCCCTTTATAATGCTAACATATAGCAAAGAGATGGTTTGTTTTTTCATATTTCACTCATTCCTGATCGAAAAAAATGCCCCGAACATCTACAAACATGCACAAATCCCTATTTGATTTGTGTGTATTTTCATTTGAAAGGTGTGTATCTGCTTTTAGCATGAAGGGGCACATGTGTGTAAAAAGACAGTGAAGTGAAGGTGGCCCATGTTCAGTGTCCAGACGCGGCAGATTGTGACCTTATCAACGTGAAATTCTTAAGATAAATTATTCATAGCACCTGTTTGATGTCTCTGGCCAAAGAATGACAAAGGTGTAAGATTTAAGATCCATCTAAAACGGCATAAATATCAGCCACTGTCTATCTCTTTTTTTAGAGCAAATAAAAAAGGAGTTAGGCTTCATTTCAAACCACAAAAATAATACATCACAGGTGTCCAGTATTTACAGTATGTCTTCCTGATGTATCCCCAATTTGATGTGAAACTTAAAGCAGATATTGGACCCATTTGGTGGAGCTAACCGTGGCCTTTTGTAACCGACTCTGTGTTATGTTCCCTCGCAGGCAGCGAGCGACAGCAGTTGGGGAAACACAGCGGGTCGTGTTGGCGGAAGGCCGGACACTGTGATCGAGTGTAATTCACTGCTTAGTGTGAGCGTTGGGATTACTTGACATGGCATTGACTGACAGGTTTATTGAACTTAATCATAGATCTCAAGAATATGACATTAACTTTCAATTTAGAATAGACTTTATTCCTATTGCTTAGTTCAGTTCCCCCTTCGACTTATTTATCAAGCAGCATCCAAACCCGTTCTACTCAAGAATGTCCCAGCCTTCTGGAACGCAAATTCTTTCTCAATCATTTCTTTTAGAAATAGCCTGCCGTATACTTTTCGGTGAAAATGTTAACTGATCTTTTCAGAGAGATCAACATAACACGCAGTATTAATAGAACAAATAGCTGTAGGAAGGATATTAATGATGATATATACAGATGTGGCGCACAGCTTGAATTATGTGTGAGCCTTTTGAAGGAGAGCAAAGGAGAGGCACTCACAGAATCTCTCACAGAGTTTTGTGTGTACTCGTGTCTGTGTGCGTGTGTGTGGGATAGCAGTCGGTTTTCCTTCAGATGTTCCCTTTGACCTTTGACCCCACACTTGGGGTCAAGCCCTGACAAATGAGATGGTTCAGTTCTGTCCAGAACTGCAAACATTCCACAACAATCTTCTGTCCTCCTCCGCCCCTCTCCTCATATCCGTCATTCCTCTCCCCTTTACTCCTCTTAGTATGTCTCCTCCACAACACAGAGAGCAGAGAAAGTTCTCATTACACACAAACATGTTTTATTGAATTTCCTGTGGGAATCTTATAGCGCACATCCTTCAAATGAAGAATACCAGAACGGGTTAAATGTAATATCCCCAACATCTGCCTTGTTTGCAGATGGAGAGAAAACCAAAAGAGTATGAGCAAAACAGAAGCCGTGTTAAGGTTTGGATATTACAACCCTGCACTTTGAAGGCACACTTTGGGTGTTTGGAAAGCTTGTCAGTGATGTCGAGGATGAGAAATGTTGCAGTGTGTATTTTTTTTACACACGTTGCTGGCTCCAGCATTTCCGGCAACATTTCTCACTGCCTCCTTCACACCATTCGCTCTGCTGCGATATCCCCACATTCTCCCCCTCCTTTCACTTCTTCCCCTACCCTCCCTCCCTCCCTCCCTCCCTTCTTCCCTCCCTCCTCTCTGACCACTCTTGCCGCCTTCACCCTTCCTCCTCTCTGCTGCACCAGCCTGCCCAATTTCTGCCCCCCCCACCGCCCCTTGCTCTCCTACCAGCACACTGACACAGCACTCTCCCTCCCTATCCCCCCCCCCTCTATTTGCTCAGATTTTCTAACACGCCGTTCCGCAGAATGCTGCCACCCGTGTCTTTAGGGGAAAAAAGGGGGCTATTGGTATTCCTCTTCAGGATGCTGGTTAAGGTAAGTAGTCCCCCCCTCTATGATGTTTCTGCCTGTTGTGTTTCTAAATTAACTTTTTTTTTTACTGAATCACCAAAACTTCTTAATCACCATCGCCCTCTATCAGAGCTCCTAGCTACAAGCCGCACACAGAGTCACTGATGATGGACGCCCGCGGGGCCGTCACAGAGCCACACAGGAGCGTGGACACCAACGATGCCGGATGGTAACACTTGAAAATGTTCTTGAACTTGCTTTCATAGTGATGTAATATTATAAAAGCCAATGCAACGCATAAACAAAATAAAAAAATAAAATCGTTCTTGATATGTGCGTGCGTATGTGTTTTTTTCTTCTCCTCACTAACATTTGAGTTCGGATTTGATTTGAAATCTGCTGTTGTGTGATTCATTGGAGGGTACCGCTGCTTTCACATGGATCTTGGCCTGGACAGGACTGTTTCCCTCACAGGGCAGCTGATCACATGGGAGGGATGGATCTGAGCTCTTATGCCGTGCACTAGCGCATCACTGTGGAGAATCTGGGTGCTTGTGTACAGCTTTCTGCTTTGAATATCAAAATTGTCGGTGGTGTTCTGCCTTCCTCGGCAGGAGGGCAGTGGGTTCCAAATACGTCTGCGGGTGGGGATTCCTTGATCAAGAGCTGCTGCTACAACGATGTACAATGCAGATTTATATTTTGCCACTGGGATGATGCACACGGATTGGCAATTGAACTGAAACACTGTAACACCACAGTGCAGTTGGAATGAAAAAAAACCCTCATGACTCCAGTTCCTTCCTCCATTTGTTCACATTCAAGTTATGTCATTGCACTAGCGACTAGTTGGCTCCTTGCGTCTCCAGTATGAATAAATAATAAATCTCTAATATCACCGACATCACCATCAGCTCGGTGGCTTTGGAAGCAGGCAGCGAGCGACAGGCAACGTGGAAAACACGTGTAGGCGTATGTGTGTAATCATGACCATGTCGATGGTGCAGTTGAGTTGATCATGTTTACGTCCTTTCCCTCCTCCTGCTGCTCTGTATGTCCACGGGCGGCTCAAGGATGTAAAGGAAGTGCTCAGAGCCACTTGATTTCCTGCCACCACCCACTGCTGCCCCAGTCTTACCGGAGCGTTGATGTCTGCTCCTGTCCCCCTAGAGCCTCCGTCTCTCGCTCTGCGACCAACCCAACCTGCCCCACCCCCCCAGTCCCGCCACCTCCTTGCCATGCTCCCTGATTCAGTGTGTAAAAGCGCCTCCTGAATGATGGAATTACTGTGTCACCGCAGCCTGCGAAGGATTAATTTGTTTCATTGATTTCTCTTTAGGCAGAATGCCAGCGTCTGCCGCTTCCCACCTTTTCCCCAAGACTCGCGGATGTAATAGACGGTAATGGCCTAAGACAAATCAACCCGTTTCTTGTAAAAATAGAACCAAATAACCCTCCCCATCCTCCAGCCTGCACTTTACTGACGAGGACATTGTGGATTGGTGGTGGGGTATCAGAGAGTGTTTGATTCATTCTCACTCTCCATCTCTATCACTTTATCCGGCTATTCGTCCATACCAACGTCCCTCCTTATCCTGTGCTGAAACAGAGGAGAACATCCAGTCACTCCAACAAAGCCATAAGTCCTAAGCACTTACAGCTCCCTCTCAGGCCTTACAATGGATGGGTAATGACAGTGCTGTCTGGAAGGGGCTGTGGGAGTTGGGCCATTCTCTCCAGTAATGGAAGCAGTTACTGCCATTCCCTATACACCTGCAGGAACAGCTAACTGTTAACCACTGTGATCTATGGTAAGGCCTTACTGCACTACTCTGAGGTTGAAGGGTTGTACTGGCATTGCTGCATTAGGGCATTTTTTCTCCGGGATGGATGAAGTTTCTTCTACTGCAGGTTGAGAACTATGGAGAAGCATTTGAGGTATTGTTAAACAAATCCGTACAAATGAATCATTGTGGGTTCAGGTCTCTGCAATGCAAACTGATCCGGCTGTCCTGACATTCACTGATCTAACGCTGACATAAGATGCTGCCACATCTTTACTACCCTGTCACTGCCTTGAACGATGGGAACCCCAAACTGCCTGTAACATTAAGCACACCACTACAGGCTGACTGTCCTCGGACGCTTTCCAATCCCACAGAGATTTACGAGCGGAACCAGATCCATTAATCCATTGATGATTTGCTGTGGATGCCCGACAGGGTTTTTGGGATCAGATATCGTGCAGTGCTGAAACTCACACCAATGTGTAGCAAGGTAGACTGTTACACCCTGAACAGTGTTAGAAATGCTGCACAAAGTGACAGGAAATTAATTACAATTCAGAATTCTTAAATTTATGTTTGTATTTATTATGGCACATTTGAAATTCTATCTCTCACAACCCCGGCAGATTAACAAACTTTTGACATAGAATACTTTCACTTACATTAAAAATGACTGCATAGGCTGGAATGGCAATCCATTGAGGGCTCACTACGGGTGAGTTAAGAGAGCACAACGTGATAATGACCACGGCTGCAGGGAAATCTCATCAGCTCCCTTCAATCAATTTAACACTGTTTACAAAGCAATGGGCTGAGGTTTCTGCTTGGGTGCCGAGTATTGTCACCTGGTGTTCCCCTAGATCCCACTGCTGAGCGGGCCTCTCCTGGGTAAACCGCCACAAAGCCCCCTCACGTCTGACACCACCAGGTCCTTCAAATGCTGCTCTTAAACAGAGGGTGAGGTGATCTCACCATGATAGAGTCTCTTTCTCTGAATCTATCTTTTTTCCCAACATATTCTTCTCTATCCCGAGCTTTACATCTTCTCTCCCTCCCATTCTCTCTGGGCTGTTGAAGTGCTTGTTCTACTTAAGGCTTTTTCTAAGGGGTCTTTACATTCTTAAGTGCCACCAGAAAAGGTTAGTTGTCAGGTAGTTGTCCAGCTGTGGTTATGCAATATATTAATTGCGGGTGCTCTACTGCAAGCTACACTTGATGATGACGATATTTAAAGTATCTGGATTAAATTAGATTATAAGGGGGTGCTGTGATAAAATGGTGAACATTTTGAAATGTATTTGAGTATTCTTTTAAAAAAAAAAGTAAACCATATTTGGATATAACAAGGTTCTATTCCATTAGACTTGATTCTTCCCAGTTCCCTTCCTGTGCATCAGTGAAGATGTTACATCATAGTTAGGTTAGGTCAGGTCTATTTATATTTATATAGTGCAAAATCATAACAGATTATGTCGTGGCACTTTTCATTTAGAGCAGATCTATCATATGTTTTGATTGATAGCTAACTCAATATGTATTTTCCCTTGCAATCCTACACATGCATAGTGGAAAAATAAATGCTGACCTCATGGTGTTAAAATCCAAATCCATGACTCTGTCTTCTGCCGCTCTAAATCTAAAATTCTCTTGGCCATTTGATCATATATATATATATATATATATATGCATATATACATGCATGTCAATAGGAAGCTTTAGGGGGGTTAGTGTTTGCATTGCCCCAGTCAAAGGTCATGACTAACCAATAAAATATTTCCAGAGAACCATCAATAATTCCGACAAGGAGACTAATACAGTATGGGATTGTGGGTAGGGGGAGGACGTCTGTTGTGCTTGCTCTGAGTAGAATGGATGAATAAGAGGCCAAAAGGTTACTGGACAGACTTCAGCCCCATGCCCCTGCACCCTCTCATATTTGCATTTGACAGCGACAGAAGCAATTATGAAGGTATACTTCAGACAGTTAAAATGGGAGAGGGCAAAGTGCAGAGCATCTAAAGCACTGGCTGGAGTCAAAGGTTAGGATGGACATAGACCATCATTGCATGAAAGTGGTAATGGAATAAAATATATAAAGACACAGACTGAAGAGGGAAAAAATATCATATTCATTCTATATTCATGTGATATTTTAACAGAGAAAATGAGAGAATTTGCCATTATATGGTGTTTGCCTGGATTACAGTAACTTGTTTGGGGTTTAATATGTGTGCATGTACTGTAAATTGTCTGACACACCATCAGGATTAATGGCTATTGAATATGAATAGCCCCAGGTCAGGGAGGGTCATGGCATGCATTTAGCACCAGTGCCCGATGCCAAATGTAAAGGTCAAAGTGGAATTGCCTAAGTCGGAACAATGCATTGTTTGCTCATCCACATTTATGCATTACGTTGGCAGTGATTTATGGAGGGAGATAAGCGTATGGATGGACAGAAAACCCTTTCTTTCTCCTATCCCGTCAGGCTTGGTTAATACACCACTCACTCAAATCAATCACTATGTCACAGTGAATTGCCACTGAATGCTTCCCGCTCAGATTAAATACTAGCTTTGTCTTACGCTGCCTTCTCGCTCCAGCTCAGGAGAACCCACTAGCGGCGCTGCAATTTCACAAGCTCCATAGCAGTTCCAAAAGCTACGGTACAAAAGTTGTAAATATGTTCAAAGTCAATGCCATCAAGGCATTTCATGCTTGTGATACGCTATCGACGTAAGGTCTTCGATTGATTGCAAATAAACAAGGAGATAATGACATTTATTTTATACTGAGACACTAAATCCTGTTTTAAATAACGTGTTCCCCCACCATTATGTTTTTCAAAAAGTTGTAGAGAGTGCAGCTTTATTATTCTCTTTTCAATGCATTTCGTTTGCACAGGAAGAATACAAACCTCAATGCCGTTTGTCTGCTGTCATCTGAATTCCAGGGCATTTAAAAAAAGTTCAATTTGGAGCAGATTTTATGCTGATAAAGAATATCACTTGATTAAACAAAATGTCCCCTCTTCTGTCCTCTGGAGAACAACATTCCTGGTCCGCAGCCAGACGGGTTGCTCAGTATTTTGCAGGAGCAGACGCTCAGGGGGGTCTGGACTGGGCCATCGATTAACTCAATATTCTGGCTTTTAGCGTTTTGTAGGCCTCTTGAACATGTATATCTTACCCACATGCCTCTGCCTCCCTAAATGTGAAAACCAGCCTGTCACTGGTGCACCGCAGCCGTTGCAAACTACCCCCAAGTGGTTCAGAATCCGGCCAGAGAATAGCCCAAAAAGAAAACATTCTTTTGAACTGACGGCCAAAGCGGAAACATGGTCTAGTAAGTTGCTTTTGAACTTGAACCATAAAGACCAGATCCTTTCCTCAATTAGTAATACATTTTCTCTTTTCCATTATTACACGTTTTTCCATGGTAAGATCTAAAGGTGATAATGCATGACCATATACTATTATGTGGTGCATATTCTCATGTTACCTTTTTTTCAACTTGCATGTAACTTGAATATGACAAAAGAAAAAAACTGTGGTAGCCAATTTTGTAGTCAAGTGTTTATCTTGTGGAAATCATATGAATTCCCTTGCAGAGACTGTAGACGTCAGCCGTTTCTCCATCTAGCTTTCCTTCCCTTCCTCCTTCCCAAAAGTACTGAAGCCAGTTCATATACAGGACAAATTCTGGTCTGGTCTGTTCACCACAGGTCTTTGAAACACATCAGAATCTATTACCAACATGCCGATTCAGCCACTGCTGACAATACAAATCATGATAGGATGGAGCAGTGACTCCTTAAACACCCTTACTTATAGATCAAATCATATGAGTTGGGTTTGTCTCCTAGTGTGATCGTATATTTATATGGATGGACTGAAGATGCCATTACATCTGTCTTTAACCTGTGCCTGTTACTACACCATTCAAACAATAGATATAAATTGTTGTGTGTGTGTGTGTGTGTGTGTGTGTGTGTGTGTGTGTGTGTGTGTGTGTGTGTGTGTGTGTGTGTGTGTGTAGGGGCTTGTGTTTATCTGCTGGAGCATCCATCACTTGGCCGTAGGAGTTCCAAATCAGCTCCTTGTAAGTGGAGATTTATGCTGTAATGCATCAAATCAACAGACCTTTACAGTAAAATATGACTTTATCAATAGGCCTGATCAATAGTGCATGCAAGACAGTGTAATTATTACAGAGGTCTATATCAATAAAACTGTCATGCATGACCTCCTGCCAAAGGCTACGGAGCTGTGAGTCACAGACAGTGGAAGAAAGGTTTGTGTCATAGCCCTGAGATGTTCGATTACCTGTACAGTATATACGGTCTTGAATGTACGTACTCATCAGGACACGCTCACCTCGAGTCAGGCGAGGAAAGTTTTTTCAGCTGGGACAACTGTATGTATGTCTATTGGATTTCATTCACCAATTAAAACTACTGGGTCTATTTAGATACAGATGTGCTTTGTTTTCTTGCACCTCTGCCGACATTACCGATAATAACCTTTAGAGCTGGGGATAACGGCCTTTACTGTAGTGGGTCTAAGAGTGGAGGAAAGACTGTAAAGAGAGCATTGTATTACACTAAATCGAGAGCACTCTGCATTAACACACACACACACACGCACATCTAGTACACTAGAGAGAGAGCGTGAGGCAGGGACCAATGAGGCAGTTTATATCGGGATTTTGTTTCACAGCCACGGCCTCCTGGGAGAGAGGGGTCTGCCAATAACACTTAAGAGACAGAGCAGGAAAAGTAAGTGCTTTTATTACAGCTCATCACTCATGTAATTTCTGGCAGCATTTGTGATTACAGATCAAGTGATTGACTAACTACACATTCGGCAGCTGAGTTATGAACTGGGTGCCTACCATTCCAGCCCCGGCAGATTCTCCGTGTCAGCTGTAACTCATCCTCACCCACAGTGCTAAATCAAAGAGCACACTGCGGCCGGAAGAGTTAAATAATAACTTGAGCTTTATTGTAAATCTTTCAGAGATTCAACCTGTGTGGACGTCATCTTGGCTCTGATGTCGTACTGCATGGGGTAAAGAAGATGGTTGGAGGGGATCAATAGAAGGCCAGATGGAGATATTGATGGATGACAGGTAAGGTGTGCGTGTGCTTGGGGTCGTGTGTGTGAAGGTAAGATGACATGTGTGTGTCTGTGTGTGTGTGTATGAGGGGTGGGATTGAATCACCCTGTGTTAGGTTAGGTTAGGTTGAGAGCACAGCCCAGGGCGTCTAATCGACAGGTCTCACCTTGAATTGATCAGCCCGAGTCTCACAGGGCAAAGATGTGATACACACGACCAACACTTTCTCACATACAGCAAAACAAACCATAGGGAGTGTAGGCAACAACAGGGTGGGCGGATGGACGATGTCGATTAGTATCGCTGCCAGTGTGTTGTCAGTGTTTGATTTGGGAATTCGTAATAAACTCCAAAAATTTAGAAGCATTTTAGTTTTGCTTCTTCTTGAACACCATTTTGTGACCCTTAAAATACTTTTGTTTCGATTCCGATACAAACAAAAACATTTTGGTTTTACCCTTAAACACTGGGATCAAGGAAATAAATAGGTTTGAAGGGAAGATGTATTCATGTCAGTTGAAATGAAAACCACGGTCAAGTTCACATAGAGACTAAACACAGGGGTCTTAGTATAGGAGTCTTAGTATAGCATAAAGAAAAAAAAAATATAGCAATATGCTATATCTTTTTTATATAGCAATAAAAAAGATAGCATATTACAATATGAACAAGGTTATCGTATAGGATTTCAAAACAAAGTAATAAAGCAGTCACACTATTCTGTTTCATAAAAATGTCATAATATGACATGTCATGAAATGCCCTTTAAATTCATAAATATCAGTGGCATTTTTGTATGTCATACGAATCTTTAAAAAAAAACAAAGTATTCTACGTCTTGAAAAGTCCATACATGAACGTATAGTTCTAATAAAAGTCAGAGTAGTTTATTTTTACAAAAAAAAAATCCATTGGAACTATTAGTATATGTCTTAGGAATGTCATTTGTAGTATATCATTTTAGTACGCATCATGGAAAGAGATGTCTGTCATAAAAATTCTGGAAAAATGTTATAGTACATCATAAATAAGTTATAGTGTTGCATATGATAAAAAAGAAAGTTTTCACAAAAGGTCACAGTATTAAATGTCATATAAAGGTAGTACTATAATATGTCACCCAATGCCCAAAAATATTGTTATAAAAATGTGGAAAAGCCACTGTCTACTAACTCCATGCTGATGACACATTTTGAATTAAAAAAGTGGATCAAATTTTCTGCTTCATGAACCAGTCATTATAAGTCTGCAAAACACCACAAAATGAGTTCAAAAAAAGGTTAAAAAGTTATACTACACACATACCCATGTTGAGTAAAGGCAAAAAAAACTCAACCATACGCCATCAATTTGTTTTAATTCATAAAGGAGCCACCAAATAATTTGAACTTGAAGTTTAAAGTGTATGAGACATTTCTGTCAAAAGAAAATCCTTCACAGGACTGAAACAAACCAGTTTGCACCGCAAGACCTCAAGGCTGATGAAGAACCTTGCTCAAAGAAACACAAATAAACCACAGCACTCAAAGGAAGTTTTGCTTCCTGAAACCATCTTATGGTACCTCTGCAGCAACTTGATTTCCTCACACTCAAAAGAGCTGCAGTCAATGAGTCAGACTGCAGAGGCAGACATAAAGACCCTCTTCTGTCTTACCAGAGGCCAAGATCTAAGGGGGCGGATCAGATGAATTACTCTGGTGCAGAGAATTAAATCGTGGATTCTTCAAAAGTAGTATCAAAAAAACAAAAAATGCGTCTGTGTCTCGGATAGTACATGAATAGTTCAGGAGAGGAAAAAGTTGGACGTGTGATCCCGGGGGAAACGGCGGGGATGACATTTTAGCTTTTTGTTCAGGGCTCAGATCAAGTCATGGAGGAAAGACTTGTGAACAGGAGACTTGAGCCCACGGAGGTCCACCAAGAGGTCTTGGTTTTGGCCTGGGAAAAAATTGGGGTCAGCTCCCCCTTTTTGGACCAATTCAATCAGATGGGTAGATCTTTCCTAAGGAGACAGAGACAAGAAAAATACCTCAGCCTCATAACTACTACATATAAAATTGTCAACATTTATGCTGACTGGGTCTACTACTGCTACTTGGTTCTGTAATGAATGCATTTTGTTAATAGAGTTGCCGCTATTTTCTGTGGAGATGCAGGTCCAGGAGGCTTGTTCCTGACGCAGGGGCTGGACGTGTGGGGAGTTGGTTAGCCTCTACCGGAAGACAGAAGAGATATGACATTAAAAAGCAATGAAAACCTTGCTATGTTGCAAAACATATGTCTCATTGTGTTTTTATTGATATGTTGCGCTAACGTCAGCCCCAAGCTAGCCTCTATTCAGCAAACAATGAGTGACTGTCACTGTGTGTCTATGAGCCCTGCGGAGTGGTTTGCTTTGTTGTTGGCCAGTAAATCCCAATAAAGTATTTGAATGAATGGCTATTTGTTAAACCATGTAGTCTCATTTTCTACTTTAACATAAAAGTACAGGATATTCAAAATATCAGCATCCAAGGCAATCATTGGCAGAGTGGGTCTGAGGAACACAACAGGAAGTGTAATGAAACTATGGCCCCTATTGCTCTTCAGTCCAAGTGAAGTAACTAAAGGCTCTTCCAGGGGGTTATTTGTTAAGTAACAGATGGAACCTTTCCAGTAACCTTCCCAACACTGGACTCAGTGTCCACAGTTGGATAAAAGGAAACCCCATTTGACAATGTTAAAATATTTCCGCCCCAATCTTGGGTAGTACAATAGTAAGAATTCATTCATGTGTGTACATTCATATTGCATGTGTATGTGTCGAGGTGAGAGAATAACCCTGGTATGGTTGCCTTCATCAGTGCACAGTGTAAATCTAATTGGCTTTATTAGGGGGCTTAAATCTAATACCAGCTCTGCGTGCAGCAGGCTTCTCTTGGTGTGTGTGTGTGTGTGTGTGCGCCGCAGTTGGATGTCTACGACTCACCACATTTCTCATTGACTGTTTTCGATGTAACAGTCATAAGTAAAAAGACTAATACGGTAATACAACTCCATTCCCTCCTCAGCCCCCACCAGGCAAAAAAAGCATTTAGGGGTTCAAGTCCAATGAAGCAGCAGCACTGTGGCACTAGATGTAACGTACAGACTTAAGGCAAGAGAAAAGACTGCGCCGCAACATTTGACCCCATTTAAAAACTTGATACCAATTAGAGAGTTATGAGAGTAAATAATTTAGGAGACCTCGCTTACTGAACACACACACACAAATAATCCTACAGTCATGCACACACGTACGCATGAACGTGCATCGACACGATCTCACGCATTAACCTATGAAGACATAACGCGCACTCCTATGCGTGCGCAGACACCGGGGCACACAGACACACACACATAAAGATTCCACTATGCTCTGGAAACAGACTTCTTAATGAAGCCTTTCCCAAGTGAAAGTAGAGCAGAAATACACACTGGCCCATTTCTGCCTTCAGTTCGTCCTCCTCTCATCGCTCCATTCCTCTCCCTCACCTTTTCCACATCATTTGTTTTATTCATGTTTTGTTGTCTCACTCTGTTGTGTCAATGAGTTAAATCACAACCCCTAATTTATGGCTCCAGGCAGAGACACTGCCACAAACGCGCCGGCTGATGAGAGGGGGTGACTGAAAACGTACGCGCCGAGCGCCGTGTAAATCTTATGACGGCGGTTACTGTCTTTTTATCTATGGTTATTTACATAGGAAATGACAACGTGTGCTGAAGAATGGCTCTGATACCAAATGAAAAAGGCTGTGCACTAGAGGAGAGGAAAGTGAGAGAAAGACAGAGTAGGGGATGGGGGGGGGACGAGAGAGTAAATCCAGCGACACTGAGTGGGGAGCACTCAGGTGTGGTGAGAGGATTATACAAAAACCCTGAGTATGAATGACAGTAAACACCTGAATGACAGAGACGGGGAGGGGAGGGGCGGAGGCCTGTGTGTGTGTTTGTGTGTGTGTCTCTAGGAGGTGTGAGTGAATGTCGCCACTCAATGCTGCGAGGGCTCTACTGTTTACTAAAGTGCAACTTGTTTTGCTACAGCAAGAAACTGAAACAAATTTAAGAAAAGGACGTGTTGGAATAAGGATGTCACGAGGCAGGAAGGTGATGATATCAATCAGGAGCGATCCACTGAGAATTCAGGAGCTGTTTGGTTAGCTAGTGAATTATATATTAAGCTATACAGCATGCAAGTAGGTAAATAAAAGGACTGGAGAGCAGGAAAGAGGATACATGTTTTATCTTACTTCTCTCTCGTGCATCAGTATGAGATCACTGAAAAGGTCCCTGAAACGCAACACATTCCCTGTATTCTCTACAACACAAACACACAAATCAGCCCCTCCGATTAACCCTTTTTGTCTTATGTCATCAAATTCTTTATTTCACGACTGTTTAATTGCCTTGTTACCTTTAAAACATTTTTTTTCCAATCAGAGATTGTGTGTCAATTTCTATTTTCATGCAACTGGGTAAGCTGAAGGCTTTTAAAAAAAAAAAAGCGTATTTCTTTGCAAGCCACGAGAAGGAGTGCCAACACCGGCCTCCTCTTGTGTAATGCTACCATGCTTTTTTAAACTTTGGCTTTAGGTTCCATTCAAAAGGGAGCAATGCGTGTCGATTCCTAGATCTGCTCTTAGTGAAATCCCTCACCTCTGGAGCTATATCACTGTACAGTGCTGACTCTACATGAAGCGTGACCTCGTTTCCCCCTCGGCGACCCCCTCCTTCCCTTCACAGTCTTGGAAGATAGAGCAGCACAGGGGAAACGCATGCCAAGGCTGTAGACACTTTTAAGCAAAGATTAAAGGTTTTTCTTTTTAATCAGTCATTTGGCAGCAATGTTAGCCTTTCACCATAGTGCAGCTAAGGATCAATTTTTAATGCTGCTGTGCAGAGAGCAGACAGGGTGATTGGCAAGAGAGAAGCTATTTACAAAGGATCTATTTACAAATTTCCAATAGAAATATGCAGAGGGCACAATTGACATCTCTTACAGAATTTTAAAGAAGCTCTTTTCCTCTCTTTCGTCATGAGGCACGACCTCTGTGAGCCCCTGATGATCACTGTTCTCCCTGTGTGTAAGAGAGCATGTGTGTGTTCACTCTCATGCGTCTCACATGTACTGTAAGAACAATAAAGGCATCTACACCTCTCCCTTGTGTTGCATTGTGTTACATTTCTCCGTGTTGTACTGCCACAGGCGGGGTAAGTAGGTCAATCAACCCTTGTGGAAACAGATCACAAGAATCCACCAACAACATGCTAATGAAAATGACTCTTTTTAAAATGCATATACTTACTCCTTCATGCCACAGTAAACATAATAAGGAGAAGTTTCTTTGAGTAAGAAAAAACCATCACATGAATGTACAGTGAATCTTAGTGGATTAAAGGGTTGAGACGTTTAAACCGTGCGCGAAATAGACTGAGCCAAGTCCCCATGAAAGACAACTGAGACCTTGGGACGACTACGACGATTAAGTTCATGTTTGGGCACTTCTGTCTTCCATGGAACAGTCTTCATATCCATCCGCGAATCGAAACATGTATTACTCCATCCATTTTTCAGTCCTCCATTCCTTCGTTATCTAACCATCCATCCATTCATTCAGGTAGTCAACCAACCTTCCAGCCGACCAACCCACACGCCATTGATCCAATGATTGACCCTGCACTGGGTGGATCAATAATCTCTTAAATGGCCTCATTGTAAGAGCTTAGGAACAATGGCCAGGCGTTGTTTGTGCAGTTCATTTCCAAGGTAGCAAGGCCACGCGTGGCTCCAACCAGAGACAACTCTCTTCTCTCCTCCACTTATCTGATCGCAGCAAAGAGAAAAGAGGAGAGGTTGAATACTGTGCACATGCAATAAAGGGAGCAGTGGTACATGCAAAACAATTTCTGGCATACAGCAGTTTTACAGACACATAACTGTTCCATAGGCAAGTCACAGATGAGAGTAATACTATTTAGAGATCAACAATCAACACCACCAGGGTAAAGAAAACTCATCATTTTCACTTAAATAACTGTAATATTACTCAAAGTAATTCAGTATTTTGTGGAAACAAATAATGGATTGAATTGTAAACACACCATTCAAAGTTGTCTCAACAACAGCAGAGGCGCCTGCTCGCTGACCGTAGTCTGGGTTTTGGGGCTCACCAGCTGTTGAAAGCAAACACCAGACTCAATCTAACATAGTTCACACACTAGCCTGGTGGTATTTCAGTGTGTAGAACAGGTCACACTTTAACAGCACGGTTGGAGGTTCACTCCCTGGTTACAACAACCTGCATGTCAAAGTGTCCTTGAGCAAGACACAGTTGCCCTCTGGCCACAGACTTCAACCCAATGCTCTTTGAACTGCTTCAGTTGACTCAAATACAGATGTTAAATGTCACGTGGGTACCTATACGAGTCCTGTAAAAGGTTTTCTTAGGGGGTGATAGCTGATGCTTGAGTGATTCCTTTCGTATGTCTATATGTCGTTTTAGGGATATTCTACTGATTCTGCTTATAAAGCACATCGCCCTGCAGAAGCAGTGGTGCTCTATAGACTCGTGTTCGGTGTATCTCTGTGCAGCCTATTGTGGCTCGGTGTGCATACAGAAGCCCTGCTGGCTTAGAGCTGACGCCAGGTCTTGGCATTAAATGACTGGTACTCTGACAACTCTCAGAGTTCTGTCACTGAGGTTCACAGGCCTTGTTAGCCAAGGTGTCAGCAGGGGTGGGGGGGGGGTCCCCCGACTGTGTGTGAGTGTATCTCTGTGTGTGTATAGCTGTGTGCGAGGTGAACATTAGACAGCACTCCTACCTCCACCTCCTCACCTGACACCAGCAATAAAACCAAACCGTGCAAGGTGCTATACTGTGTGTGTGTGTTTGGAGGATGGGGGTAGGGGGGGTATCCACACGCAAAAAAGGGGGCATGTGTGCTGCAGGGTTGTAGCTGCTGTCACCAATTTGCCTGGGCCTCCAGACGGGAGTAGTAGCAAGGTGACGGAGCCGTGGCTTGATAAACACAGAAGCCCTGTTTCGATTTCCCATCCAGTCCACTTTGGAAAGACATGGCTCTTCCAGGTCGCTCTCGGCCCAGGGAAGAAAAAGGTGGAAGAGGAGGAGGAAGGGGGCAAAGAAGGGAGGAGAGCCACTAGAGAGACATAGTGAGCAACAATAGCAGCCAGGAGGAGGGTTGAGAGAGAGAGAGAGAGAGAGAGAGAGAGAGAGCTATAGGAGGAAGCGAGAAGAAGTTGACAGACCTGTTGGGACCACAAGTATTGACTTCCACAAAGATGACAGACCATCTTTCATCGACGGATGACACAGGGAGAGAAAAATACAGAATACAGATAGAGGAACAATTAAAGTGAGGGAATTTAGAAATCTTCGTGATCCTCTGGCGCAACTTGACACCCTCAAAAATATTGTCTTAGGGAGAAAACACAACACACAGCACAACACTCCCGGCCATCCATTCTCCCATTTGTTTCTTTTGCTTTCTAAACAACTTCTATGTTCCGCCCTTCAACTGACATCAGAAGTTTAAAGACCAGCTCCGGTTGCAAGAGCAGAGAAGTGCCAGGGAGGGAGGTGAGGCGCCAAACTCCCCTCTGCCCCCCAGAGAGTTAAGGAGATCACAATTTAACCCCCCCACACACACACCAACCCCACCCTGCCGCCTCTCTACTCCGTGCCTTAATACCAACATAAGAGGACAAGTGTGGGCTTTAAGCACCAATGATCAAACAGCAGCGGCTGCTGGTTGCGCTCGGCTCAGGACGGTTGGCCTAATAGGATTGGAAGCCCCCAGGTGAGCCAAAGGACACCTCCAATCAACATGATTAGCCAAATGCTGAGCAGCATTCCAAGCAACAGCTTTAAGTGATGTATGGTGCTAGGAAGGATCCCATAGGTTGTGCAGAATGAAAGCAAGTCATGGAGTACAGTTGCCATGGTTGGCAGTGCGTGACAAAATTAGTCTGGGATTGATGCTTTAAAATTGCATGCAGTTTATACACGTCAGAAGAAGAATTTGAGTGTTTGATAATCATGACCAAGTTCACAAAAGTGTGTGATGTGTGCAGCTGTGGAATAATCTTGTCTTCTCGGCTACTTGTAAAACAGCATGTGTTGTATACACAGACGCACGGGGTTGATGCAAGACAATACGCGCAGTACCAGGAGCTGCATGCTCTCACCATTCCCAAGTTCATTCTCACCTACATGTGCGGACAAACGTTGCGCGGCGATAAATATACACCCACACTCACCCACAGGCAGGCTTCTGTAAACTCATCACACCCAAAAAACAATTACCAGAGACTGAGCTCATCACTGACTAAGCAAAAGTCATCCAGCGTGTAAAACACACAATATAATTAGCACGCATCAGGCTGCTGTGTCCTACTGTGCATTAATGATGCTTCCCTCTGAAGTGAATGATGGTTTGATGAGTGAGAAAGTGAGTAAGGAGGGGCGTTGAGGAGGAGCAAGGCTTAATTTGAAGGGGAAGAGAAGCAAGAGTGGAGGGAAAAGAGCGGAATTGGACTGGTTAAATTTCGGGCACGCACATTCATTGCCTGGAAACTAATAATCAGAGAGACATGAACGTTTAGGGATTGATGACATATTACTTACTTTAGGTGAGGGCCATTAAATGCCAGGTACATCACACACCTGCATAGAATAGAAATGCTGTTTATCCTTCTAAACAGTGCAAGACTTTTCGAAAGAATCCCTCACAACAGAGTTTGTGGCTTTAGCTGAAACAAATAAGACCGTATTAAGAAGATAATTTTCCTTCTGTATATGAGGAAGTTACAATTAGAGATGAGAGGTTTTCCAGGTCTGTTTCATCAAGGTTTTTTCTATATAAATGAATCATGCCCTTCTGGAAACATCCCTATCTGTGACATTTCTATCAGCAGTGGAATTATTTTGTGACATCATTGATTGGGGAGTGTGAACGACTGCATTCAACTTTAACCATATGAAGCAGTGCAGACTCAGCTTTAAGGTATACGATTCAGTTTCAACCCATGACCTTCTGAAAAGATAAAATGGTCTTTTTTTTATAGTCACCTTTCTTCCTGCTAGTGAAACCGGCTGTGGGGTCCAGAGCTTTTTGGGGCCTGGATAATCAACGAGCCGGAGACCCCAGAGAAGCAGCTTTCCGGATGCTGAATATTTGAACAAATGGGCGATATGTTGAGACAGATACATCAGAAATACATCCAATGTCATCTCCTCGCATGCTCCCACCCTCTACAATGTATTGCCTGAACTGCCGTTAGTAGGTCCCTGATAACAGATTTAACCTCAAATGCACAAACATTTTGTTGTCAACCTGTAGCTTCAGTGGAGGAATTGGTGTAGCCATCGGGGGCCATAAGGACATCTGGCCACAGTCTATTGTAGATTAGCTCTATCCGGAGCCTCACAACTCAGATTTACTATAAATTAAAAAGAGAACACTGACCATCAATTAGAAATAGTTAAAAGGATACTTGACACTTATCAAAGACACACGCGCACACACACACACACACTGTCAATGTACTCACATACAGCAAACACTCAAGCATCCACTCACTCATGCAACCTCTGTCTGCATATTTAAACCTGCCACTAATACATTTATATTTACTGCCTGCATTGAGGACTTTTAAATTATAGCTTACAATAAACCTGGCACACACATCTCAAAAGCTCTTTCAGGGGATGTTAAAGCAATATAGTAAGCAATTTTCCAAAGTGGATTACAAATTTCACATGCAGGTTTTATTGCACATTACGATAACTTAACCACATCTAAATGTTCCGCATAAATGGGAAATATGTGCTGCTTAATATGCTATTTTTCATTTTTTAAGAAGCGCTTTGTAAACTCTGCCAAGCAAGGGAGCATGCTGGTTTCTGTGGTGGGGGAGTCAATAATCTTTATGAGGTGGATTTTAATTACAAGGAGATAACTGTGTATCCTCCTCACGGCAATCCTCCATCAATCTCTATTCTGCATCAAGCCATGGCACCCATAGACACACATGGATAAACACACACACACACACACACACACACACACACACACACACACACACACACACACACACACACACACACACACACACACACACACACACAGATACGATTGATCAATCTTTCATTAATGTATTTTTCTCATATCTGCGACTCAAACCTTATAAAAGCATATGAGGCAGGACATGCTGGATGCAGAAAATAAGCATGGTAACACTACTAACACATGCAGGTACATACACGCAAACTGAACAAAACACATGAAGACACAGAAGCTGGCAGGGTAATCTAGCTAAAAAAGGTTAAAGCTGATGTTTTCCCAAAGAACGACGGTCTGCGAAAGGTCAGATCAATCATTTGCTAAGCGTGCCTCGTAAGCAATCCGTAAAGAGCTTGTTTTTAAATAATACCATTTATGAGACCATTTAAAGACATAACTGACACCTGAAGGCATCACGTCACTCCAAATAGTCGTCATTGTGACAAGAATTCCAATGCAACCAAACTCACTACGGTGACTGCAGTAACTTTCATTTAATGAACCAGTTGCATTTTGAGCCAAAACATTGCAGAGCCAGCAGACGTCTCTGTTCAACAATAAGCAATTGTTTTAAGAGAGTATTGCAGCACATCTGCACCGCGGAGGTAGATGCAAACCTGTCTTTAAACAAGTATGCATTTTTTTCTTTAACTGACTGATGTTGCATTTATACAATCTGAGTGTTTTTAAGGCTCTTGGTTTAGCTTTTTAGGAATTACCGGATAGATAGCCAAGCTTGGGGAAAAGCTGACTTAAAGTGATGGTCTGCCTCCTTATCTTTCTGTCTTATTAATAACAAAGTAGCTGCAGGGAAAGTCTTTGCGGGTTTAGGGGGTCACTGGTTGAACAACAAATCAATTCATTATGCATATCATCTATCATATAACATTAAAAAACGCTTCGTTTGAGAGATATTGAGAGCTAATGAGGTTGTATTTGTGCTGCGAGTCATGTCATTTGAGGACACTGAATCCTTGTAGTGTTAATTAAAACTCAATGAAATGATCTAGAGGAAAATTTGCATGGCTAAAAGCCACGGTGTGGGACATTGTTTGGAAAATAAGGTTTACAAGTGAGTGAGTTGTTATTATATTATGTAGAATTAATAAAACATCTGGGGATCTTTCAAAAAGATCACAATGAGCGATATATCTGCAGTGACAATAAAGGTTTGAGTTATAATGAAAAGCTTCCACAATAAGGTTTTAACTCTCTAGCTCACAATTTAATAGTGATAACCTTTGCATAACTTCATAACTAAGTATCAAAATCAGCGAGAAGATTAGATATAGTCCTAAATGCTTATCATCGAGTCTTTTATTTGTAATATTTGTGGCTGATACTGGGGCAGGATCAGCGGAAGGGAAAAAGAGGACAGTGAGCGGACGAAAAAAGAATCAGCTGTTTAACAGATTGGAGACAGTGACGGGATTAGAAATGATTTGAAACCGATGCTGAACTGGTTCACTTCCTTCAAGACTGATATGTAATATGATAGCATATCTTGTTAATGAAATATGTGGTAGAATGTAGTTCAACATCAATAGATCCATTTAGAATTCATTGTAATGCGAGTTGAATGTAAAAAGCACTTGCTTCTGAAAATGATGCGCAGAATGCACCAGGCAGTAACAGTAACTTGCAACAACAAGCATGTTAACAAACATGCCGTGCTTAAAAAAGTCCTCCATTTACTCTCTTCCAAAACAAATGCATACACTCGCTGGAGCGATGACGGCTTTGGTCCAAAGGGATCCCCAAACTCAGGTTCCTTGTAGTTGCTTTTATTGCACTTAACACTTCAAGTCTAAAATACTTCAGGCATGGAAAAGATGAAAAGCGCTTTGCTAGCAGGTTGGGTTCTCGGCTCACCTGTGACGGCTGCACTGTGGGGGTCTCCTGCTTGGATCCGTGTGACCTCGCCTGGCTGAGAATAGTTAAGAAGACAAGGAGGTTTGGATCCTGTCGTCCCCAAGTCCAAGCTGTCCCTGCAAGCGAAACGATAATTTTCCTGTCAGTCAACAGGATTAAATAAAAGTTTAATTTCAAATGATTTCGCTGCTCGTGGATATAATAGTTAAATAAGGACACATGTCGTCTGAGTGGTATTTCAATTTTTGGGACAGAGCAATTTTCCCATTTTGCGTGGCACCAGCAAGTGAATGAGTTCTTCCTCTCGTCCAAATTCACGACATGTAAACTTGGCTCTTTGTCAAAGATAAATTACAATACTCTTTGATAAAAGTCAAGTGCATCCTATGGGCTGCTTTAATATACTAATAACCTTGGTTATAGATGATATTGTCAACCGGCAATTCATCTTGGCTCAAATTGTTGTTATAAAAAGGCACACTGCATATTTCTATTTCACCGACCAAAAATCCCCTGCGCTTCATGTTTAATTTACCATTGTGTGCGGCTGCGTGGCAACGCGATCCCTCATCGGCGAGGAGGTCTGTGCAAAACTTCTATTTAAACACAACGGTTTAATAACCAAGGCGTCTCGCACAGTGCAATCTAATGCGTTGTCCTCAATTTACATCTCTTTCATTGTGTTTCCAATGGTAAGGCTGCTGCATTTGACTTCTCTCAGCTGTCCTGCTCTTCTCTTTTCGCCTCGCTCCTGCAGAGATAAAGGGCTTTCTGCACGGTGCTCGTGTGCACACCGGCATGCCCTGGCATATGTTTGAAAGTGAGCACAATATGTGTGGGTTTACATTTGAGTGTCTGTGTGCGCCATGCAGTAATCTGGGTATTTAATTGCTTATTCGTATGTGTGCTACTGTGAGGATTTGTAGATGCGAGGCAGCATATGTTCCTGCTGTGAGTGTGTGTGTCTATGTATTTATAGTTATGAGTGTATGTGCTTCCATCACTGTGTGTGTGTGTAATTTTACTTGTAGTTAGGTACAGTAAGTGAGCAGATGTGTCCGTACCTTTGTGCACCTGAGTGTGTGCACTAGTTTGTGTGTCTGAACGGGTTTCTTCTTCTAAGTGTGTATTTTGTGTGTGTGTGTGTCTGAGTGAATGAGCACTGTCAGGTGCTGCTCCATGCTGTGCCAGCTGCATCTGGAGCCATCTGTTTTGGTGCTCAGTGGGAGGGGAGCGGATGACTTTAATGTACTTGAACCCCAGACAGACCTTTCCCAGACATTCGTCAGTATGAAACAAAGACAACTGGGCCCAGTCAAGCTGAACAGACTGATCTGGGTGGTGAGCAGTAGACAGACGCGTTGGTTACACTGTAACCCCGGTCAGACTCACTAGGGAGCCTTTGGCAATCAGAGATACACAAACACTGGAATCTGTTTCAATGATAGGAGAGTCGTGTTTCGGTATGGGAGGACACTCTAACCCGCCTTTAGCTTATCGTCACAGTTCTGATGCCCATTTTCTACAATGTGATCCAGGTTTACTTTATTTGATCAATCTGACTTTTATCTATTTTACAATCCAGCTAATGTGTTCACTATTTAATTATAATTCCTAACTTTGTTGAAACCTGCGTTCAAAACAATGCACTTTTTTTTTATCTTTGTGGCTCATAAAGACTGGATTGTGAGCACGTAGCGACTTGGAACCTGGAATTTAGACTTGGGACTGTCCCTCCATTAGTCTCAATACACTATAGACTACACTCAGGACAAACTGCACTTAACACCTAACCTATACAACTAAGAACAGCACAATAGACAAACAAAGAGAAGACAGAGGGCTAGTAATGATCTTGCAGCCACAATATGATTAGTGAAGCACAAAATCAATTAATGCAGCGGTGGAATCAATAGGTGTGCCTCAGCATATATGTCCTGCAGTTAATTAATAAACAAAAAGGACATTAAGCAGCAGAGCATCAGACTGTGGCAACGACTGTCATCAGTCACAACGTGCGTACTGATGGCATCAGCAGGAAGGGAAAGGGAAAACACAGACAGTTATAAATGTGAGCATGGCGGAATGCCGAACGCACCCACAGGCAACAACGCTAACACTATGCATGCATACATTTGACGCTGCACAGTCACACACTTATGCTCCAGCGCTTACGCACGTACACAAACAGGCCTTTGTTCTTCATCTTCGCTTCCCTCCCGCAGAGGAAGAACTGCAGAAGCAGTGTGTCAATAATGCTTATTTTGATCCAGGACAATATGGGCATCAAACAGGACAAAGGTTCGATGCAGCCTGAACGGTGTTGGAGACAAGCCCACCACCATCACTTGTTATTTACACATGCCCCCCATGAGTCATTTGTCATTACTATAAATACAGCGTTACGGTCGCACATATAACACATTTCCTCTGCTTTCATGTGTCTGTATGTCAGACATTCACATGTTTTAGTTTTGTTTTTTTACCGTCATTATTTGTTGATCGGGCACTACACATTTTGGTCAGATTTATTTATTTATTTGATCTGTAGCTCATCTCTGTACTACCGTCATTGACTGTATGAGGGAGTTTTCTTCCCTTCCAGTCGAAAAAATCTATTGGTTATTGGTTTATTGTTATTGCAATTCAGATCTCTGACCGCTGGAACTGCAGGAAACTACGTTAGCAGACAGTTGACCCTGTTATCACACAGCTAACATTAGGAATCGATTCAGGGCTCCAGACTGAGAATATATTTGGCTGTTTTTAGGTTGAGGGCATCAACAGGTTAGCTGTTTCACTAAACAACCCATGACGCTAGTGATGAGGATTTAGATTTCAACCTTTTATATTTTTGTACTTCCTCCCAAGAGAAAAAAAGTGATTGTTTACGCCACAAAAGGTTTGACATTTGTTTGTTTTCCTGCTCCCTTTAAAACTTACTTGCTCCTCTTGTTTTACTGGTACCATGTTGATGATGGCCGAGGCGCTCTCTCGCTGATATTCAAATTCCTTCTCACCTCAAGCATGTGATACAGCGCAGGCCGTCCATCTTTAAGTCTCAATAGGAGGAAAACAACGAGATTTCTATCGGTAATACTATTACCAGCTGTAATAGGGTTAGAGCAGCCTGGATTTACCTTGGTAAGGCAGAGGGAAACTTTATTAGGTTTAAGACCTTTTGCTAAACTACTTTTTCTGCTGCTACTGATATATAAGAGCCTTTAAGCCCTAGAGAGAGAGAGAGAGAGAGAGAGAGAGAGAGGTATCAGCTTTGAATAAAAAAAGTTCAAGATGGCCCCTCAACTCAATTCTTCGCCAGAGACAAAACAAAGTGTTATCTTTGAGGAGGTGGAACCTTTTCTTATTTCTTTACGTGTTGACGGGAGCATAGTTTTGGTGTGGCTGATTACAGGAGGAGTCTTAATCAGGTGGCGCAGACTGCTCGGGGGCCCCTGGGGCTGAGAGTATGCTACATCCTGTCAGACTGCAGAGAGAAACAATCAATCATCAGAACGGCTCCAAGACGGAGGCGAGGGAGAGGGTCGGAAGATGGGGAAAAATGGAGGGAGAGGAGAAAGAAAGAACATGATGAGAAAAAGACTGGGGCCTTCGCAGGAACTAATATGGAGTTATATAGGCGCAAGAATGCAAATGCAAATCCAATGAGTCCAGTTGGACCAGAGGCCGCCCTTAAAGAGTGCGGTGTGGGAGCAAAGGCCGCGTCAGAGCCCATAACAACGGATGTCTCCACTGCTCCCTGGCCTTCACCTACATGTTTGCTTCACTGTCCCGGCGAAGCATCATCTTCTCCGTCACGCTGTTAAAGTAATGGCAGTAGTTTCAGACGACCTCGCAGATAAACTGCAAAGTAGGGAGGAAAAAGAATCAGAGAGAGAGAGAGGGGGGGGGGGTGGGTTGAGAAGGGCCTAGGTTTTACACTCTCTGGGATCTGTCAAAGGGATGTGTAATGATGCGTCCCTTTAAAGAACGTATTAAATGAAAGGCCAGAACAATCCTCTGTGGCAGGTGGGATTCTTTATCTAGCAGAGGGGGAGAGACAAAACAGGGCCAACAAATACACACACACACACACACACACACACACACACACACACACACACACACACTTCTTGCACATACTTTATGCTGTGTACATTCAAAGGAGAATGCACATATATAAACTGCAGAGGATGATTTCCTTCTCTGAACATGTTGAATGACCAAACAGCAGATCCCATGAAGGTCCTATGAAGGAGATTAAGTGTTTGAAAGGAGGGCTCGGATATGGATCTCCCCCAACATCTTTTAATCTCTAATGAGAGGAAAGAAATGTGGAAGATGTTTGAGTGGGAATGTGAAAAAACAAAAAAGGAGCGAGGAACACTGGGAACATAGATGTGATGAGTTTTGTGTCATGCTAAGTCTGTCTCTCCCGGCAGGGCCAAAAGTGGAAAAATGTTTAGCTCACCTCTTGGCCCATCCCCCAGGAGAACGCATTCCCACCGTCTGAAAAAAAAGAGACAGAGAGAAGACCGTACACAACCAACGTTCTGCAAACAATTCAAGAGAGGCAACAGATATGAGCCTGGGGTTGAAATGGAGAAGAAAAAGTAAAAACAAAGGCGGAGGGAGAGAAGGAAATGCGCAGCTGACAAAAGTGGCTCAAGCATCATACATCAAGCACTTGTTACCTCTCCTGGTGCCTGTGATTGCACATGACTGCAAACAAGTCAGTGATAAAAATCTGAAGAAAGATGAGACCGATCGGGCTGGCTTTAAAGATCATCAATCACGGCCCTGTAAGCTCAGATATTATTAGTTCAAGTAAAGCTGCACTCTTCCATTTTATGGACATCATAAAAGACTTTGGGGGGGTGGCTGTTGGGGGGGGTTGGGGTGGAGTGGAGGAGATTCCCCAGTGTTTTAACTAGGACCCGGATGGATGTGTTTGGAAAAGCAGACCGGATGGATGGACAGCTCTAATGTAGGAACCCTAACTTAATCACTCACACAGCACCGGGCCCCCCGGGGGGAAGGAATGCGGGATGGGAGTGTAAGGCCCTACTTACAATATGTTAGAGTAAGTAATGGTGTAAGGTAAAACGGGGCCGTGCGTGTTTGTGAGTTATCTGTGTGCGCGGGTACGACCTTTTAAGACTTGGAAACGTTTATACGAACCTTTGGACTCAGTGTCACGTTGCCGTGTCTTTAAAGTGTGACACACTGTGACCACTAACAAGAATTACCATCAAGATTATGTAAAAGATTATGAGTATTGATTTGTATTTGCTTAAGTGTGCCCCCCCCAACTAATTCTGATACACTGACACCTGTTCACTAATATTCCAGTTATGTGAATCATTTTAGCATATTAAGAACCATTTTTGGCCCTAGAATGTTGCTTTTTTCAACCGATACATGAAACACTACAAAGATTTTGAGAATGCAAGATAACATGTCTGGGAATACCTTCCATCACATTGATTAACTTAAATGATCATTTATTTCTTGTCTAAAATGATGGTCAGTCTATACTATAATAGATATAATTCCTGAGCATTGTCTATATTTTACACTTATGCCACAAAACTTTTTTTTTTCTTTCTTTCTCCCTTTCTTGTCCTCCTGCCTGCCAGTGAGAACATAAAGGCCAGTGTGAAGTCCATCACTGCCTGGTGAATAGCTGCCCTTTGTGCGGTCTTAATTCACAGGCTGAAAGGACCCCGGACCCGCCATAGCACCTCTGTGTGCTGCCTGTTTTTATAGTGCTTGCATGTTATCTGAGGTTTTGTTATCGGTTAAATACATCAGGTTTAATCAAATTTTGAGGGTACAAAAATCAGAGGGCTGACCACGTATGTAACCAGTATTCCAGATTCCTTTCCAGGTCAAATAAAGACAATTCTGATGCCAACACTGGATCTCGCAGTCACTAAGCTCTACACTGTTGTCAAGGAAACCTGACCGTTTTTTTTATGGTTGCCATGACCTTATTTAATATATAGACCCCCTCGCCCCTCCATATATTACCATTTTAACATACCCTAAGCACATGGGGTTACAGCCAGTCCGTGTCAACGTTTAGAAAATATCTCATTTTGAGCAACAAAACTTTTCTTTTCTCTGACTTTGGCCTTTGTTCAAATGGATCGTTGCAGATGGCATCAATAACACACCACCATCTCTCCCTGTCATTCTCTCTCCTCTGTCAGAGACCTTTGGCGGGCTAGTTAGGCCTGACACGGGCAGCGAGTGAACAAAAGCACTGCACGGCTTAGGGCTGCCCTGGAATGTCAGCGGGTTCACATTTCACATGCAGATGCGTGACCCCTGAGCCCTTTAGTGGGAAGGTGCGCTTTAACCTCACAGAGAAGGAAGAGGGAGAAGGGGGGGGTAAGGGGCACTTTGAGGGGAATCTGGAATGGGGGTGGGGGTAAAGAATTGGACTGAGTCTGCACTGCTTGCATCTGTTCTTAAAATGCAAGTGTCTCTCACGGTCTATCTTTTCTCCGTCTTTTCCAAAATACTGCTGCACATAGTTAAACTCTGCTGATATACCTTATAGAATATTATAATTGTCGATATTTTGAAAACTTGTCAGAGCTGACTCCTTTATGTGGTGTCTGTGATGCACCCCCCCCCCTCTTTCCCCTTCTTCGAACACATGAAAGCATTAACTTTTAGAGTGCATACTTAAGATTTCTCCCCAAATGATTGAAAAGCACAATGGGAGGGGTTATGTAAGGCAAAAGTACTGTGAGCTCCGCAAAAGAAACCAAAGCTACTGTCATCTGCTCTCTGTAGGCCAAGGCAGGCACAGTTTCAACTCAAGGGCTTCACACTTCTATAACTTGTTCTCCTTCCCTCGCTGCTCTCCCTGTTCTAACTCTCTCTACACCCGTTTGCTTCTGCCTCTATCCTTTGCTCTCGATAGCGGAAACTTCAAAGACAATAATATCGCCTGCAAACTTCAAGCACGTTTGTTTGTTTTGACCCCGAAGCCCCTTGCTACAACCCTCGAACCTCCAACTTGCAAGTGCTGCAAAATAAATGAGCAAAGAGAGACCTGCTCCAGAGCTGCTGTTTATTCCTGCAACTCTCATACTCCAATGTGCCTTTGTAACTTTTGGGCAGAGAAGCTCTGTCAAATGGTTCCCCATCAAATACAAATATCTCACAAAGCTGATGACAGAGTACATTTATTGTGAGACGGAGGTGTACAAACTTTTAAATAATAAATATTCCACTAGGAAGATGAAGAAAGAAAAAAAAACGATAGCACACATTCGTGTGTGTGCACATAAAATGAACAGATGCACACGTTTATGCTTCCACACTGACTCACCTAGCGTAGCTCTGTAGGTGTAGGTTGTTGAGGTTTTTTTGGGGGGTGGCGGTGAGGGGGTAGAAAAGAGCCACACATCTATCAGCACGTTGTTGCCTCCAGCCTTCTCATGTCTGTTGTAACAGGAGAATACAGACAATATAACCTTATGAAAAATACAGCGTTGTAAAACATAAAACTAGAGCATTATTCTTGTCTAATGCAGTTGTCAATTTCATTGCTTTTCTGAGTCAGAGATGTATTTTGTAAAGAGATTAATCATTCATATCAGAGTTAAATGTTCATGTACTTTACACATGTGTGCATGTGTGACGGGTTGTTTGTGCGCTGTATTCAGCAGCTTTGCCCTCTAATAGTTGAGACATCTATAGCATCCACAGCAAGGCCAGGGAGCAAGGGAGCAATCCATAGACCTGCGTAGCCATGGCAACTAAACAAGGAATAGGCTAGATGTCAGGCGAGCATGGCTAAATTACCCATTAGAGAAAGCAGGAAGGGAGAGAGGGAATACTGGTCAGGGCACAAGAGGCTAATGGGGAGATAAGATGGCCAACATTTAGACTACACACACACACACACACACATACACACACACACCACACACACACACACACACATACATAAATGCACACATGATGAACGATGAGAAAAACGTCAGGAGACGGGCACAGAACGGTCCAGCATCAACACATACTCAAACTGGAAGATACAATTAAATGTGTACAAACTCTCCCAAATAAACATATTAAAAAAAAACAATACGCACATGTATCCCCATGCCAATATGCACATATGGGCAACTGTATGTGCGCTCACACATAAATGCGAAAATACATGGGAACACACACGTGTGCACACATACACAAGCATACAAAGGGCACAAAGGGAAAACAAAATGGTTTTAATAAATACGCCCTCTTGTAGAGGCTGCTCGTGAATGTGAGGGAGATATATTTATAGGAATCCTCTTGTGAAATCCTCTCTGCTCATCCCCACATTTGCGCATGAGAGAGAGAGAGAGCTTGTTCCTTCATTCTAATCCTTGATGCATGGCCTTCATGGCCTTGAGTCTATACTAATGAATAAAAGAATGGATCAGTGTAAGTATCCAAACTATGGTGGGAGTGAAAAGGTAAAAGTGGATTGGCCTGGCAATTTGACATATACGCAAACAAGCTTACACACTCATGCAAAGCACAACTACATGCTACACTGACACAAAAACCCTCCACAGAGTCAGGCAGTCCTCCTGACTTTAATGCTGCACGTTCATTTGCATGCGCCATAATTAGCGTCAGGCACACAGAGGCTGGTCCTAGGGGAGCTCTGTGATAACCGCTTCCCCTTCTAATAGGGCTCTCATTCCAAGAGTGCCAGACATTGCACATCTTCATTGTGGGGCCTGCAGCACACTGGCTCAGTGGAACCCCTGCTGCTGGAGCTATGCTGCTGGAGCATGCAGGGACAACATGATGGGGACAAGGGGCTAAGGAAGAAGGTGGAGGATGCTAGACCCGATAGGAGGGTGGGAAGACGGAGGAGAAGACCAAACAAGGGCTGAGAGATGTAAGGAAAGAAAAGGGGAGAGGTGATACGTTTGGAAGACAAGGAGAAAGAGGGAAGGAGAGAAGAAGAGAGGTAGCACATGGCAAAGGCGTCTGCACATTGTGTAGCAGACAGACGGAGAGACAGGCTGGACAGAGGTAATGAATGCAGTTATTAAATTGTTTCAGCTGCAAAGAGGTCTATTCTTATGCCATTATAAAGGGAACAATTTATCCCCGCTGATCGGCCCTGTCTCCTTTCTCCTCGCTCACTTTGATCTGCCAGCATATTGCCTTGATGTGTCCTATTCAATAGCGAATCTGGGGCAATTTTAATGCTTTTGTACCTCGCCACCGCTCCACTTCTCCCTCCCTGTTTAAAAATAGCTGTTAATTATAAGTGCAGTTTAAATGTCTCTAGTGACCCAGAATTGCAGGTTGGAGTGAGAAGAAGGGATAGAGCATCTCCAAATTCAAAAACAGCAGGACGCTCTTTCTTTCCTTCCTCACCAGCTCTCTTCAATCTCTCCTTTCTCCACCCCCCCCCCCCAACCCCACCCCCCACCCTCCCCAGGTTCTTTGTCTTCTTCATTCCCCTCCCCTTTTCGATTCCACTTCTCCATTCCTACAGTGTTCCTCAACGTTGCTTTTTCTCCATCTCTTGCTTTCTCTTGCTCCTCTGTGGCGTCTCTTCCGCTCGGTGGGATTGAGCGGGGCTGGAGGAGAGGGGATTCAGTTCTTTCCTCCAACACACCAGAGAGCCGAAGCGAGACATTGGAGACCATAGCTGTGAAACCGCTTCAGTCTGCAGATTGTACGTGCGTCACACCAAGTCTTTGTATCCATCTCCTCAACTTCCTCCTCTCATCCAGCCGCAGGAGTGGGATGTTGAAAGGAAAGGAATGTGAAGGTGCGCTAGGTAACACAGTGCAGAGGCAGAGGCGCAGAGTATACCTGTGGGGAAGGCAAGGGGCTGTGCAGGGACCTGAGGTGTGCACCTGGGGGGGGGGGGGTGCATTGTCATAAATAAAGCATTAGCCTCTTGAAGGGAACATAGATGTGAGGGGCTGTCTCTGCAGCTCACTTTTCCCCACTAACTCCTACTAACAGTTAACCCGCAGGCATGTTCATGTAGTCGATTCATCGTTGAAGAGGTACACGCAGAAGCGCAAGAAATAAAACTCTGGCACTGCCTTGCGGAAAAATCTGGTTACTCGTTTTTACTTAAGAGAGGTCACGGATGACTTTCCATCACATCGAAAGTGGCTGACATGACTGACGGATGAACTGATTTGTCTCATTATTGTTCATTCGTAAAACTGTGCAAGATACAGTTGGAGTGAGAAGAAAACCACTGACACTAAAATGGAGCGGTTGTTATTTGGTAGTAAATCACTATAAAAAAAATCATGTCATATTCTTTGTCAGAAAATTAAATAACCTTTAATACTGTACATGCTACTCCTGCAGTTAGGCCTTATTTCATCTCCATTGTATAGTGTGGGTCTATGAATGAAAAGTAAAGGAATAATTCATAGTGGCAATAAAACTTCCTCACTTCCACTGTTCTAAACTTTCTAATATTAATATAAAAGATCCATTAATGTAAAAAATCAGTCTTGAGATTTTCGTTGGAGATGACATGTGTTCAATATTCAAATAGTGATGTCAGTTGTGTTTCTATTAATCAATTAGAATCCAGAACTATTAAATATATTCTGACTTTCTTATTCACATAAATCCTGCAAACAATCGAATAAAACTGAAACAGAAAAACTTGGAGATATAATATGAAAATACAGATATTATATAGATATTGGTTAAAATTGGTCAAAATGATTTCTTCCCAAACTGTGTATGATCCTAAACTAAAGTGAAAATATTATTCTCCCTCTCGTTTCTATGACTAAGACTATTACTATTAAAGCAGTTTTCAATTGCTATTGAATATTGCTATGCTCAAAATCTGGACTATTAACTATTAGCTAAACATGAATATGACCTCTCCAAGGTCCAGGCAATGATATAAAGTATGTCTCCATCAGTATGCAAGGTCCAGCTTGAAAATTGTTAATGCTGTCCTTGTTATGAAAGGTATGATAATAAATAAAAAGTTAGCAAGTAGGAGTGGGAGATAAATCTCTTAAATAAGCAGTGGAAGGTAATGAAAAGCGGCTCTTGGTCTCTCTCAAAGTAATAAGGCTGGCATTGTAACCTGAGCTGAACAATTCTTTCAGAATGAAAAGCCATCAATCTTACAATAAAAGGTTGCTGAGTTATTCCTGTTCATGTTAAACAGACAACAAATGACAGTGTCCCTCCCTGTCTAACAACCATGTGTTGTTTTATTTGTCAATAAACATACCAAGAGAACGGCGCCCATAAATAACGGGTCATCCTGATGCATGAGTTTTGATAGTCTAATGGTCTCATGGTCGGCCTGCTAATTGATCAATAAATGTCAATGAGGGTTCAATTGACTGTTTTCCAAAACTAAAGGGGGCGGTTTGAAGTGATGGCAAAGTAGGCGATACAGTCACCATTTGTTCATACAGCCTGAGATAATGTATTGTCTGTACTTCAAAAATGATTTAACATTTTCTGAATTCCTTTTGACAGGATTCATTAAACATTTCAATATTCTTTTCAGAGTAGTCTCCATGCATCCGTGAAGTAAGATTTTTATATACTCTGATCACACTATGGAAAATTCCACTGTATTGAGCAGCTGAACCTTGAAATAACAAACTTATGTGGGGGTGGTTTAACTTAGCAATGCTTCCACACAGACATTTCCTTTCAGTATTTTAGCTCCAAAAGAAAGAAAGAAAACAGAACAAAAAGGACGGCGATGTAGAGATAGCAGTAAGTTGCGAGTTAATGACCTTGATAAGACCAGGGACACACAGAGCCCGGGGAGAAGACGTGATGTGTTGGCCGCCTTTCTGTGACAGCGGTATCGTGGTGCTGGTGACAAGAGGAGATGAGGAGCTTGCACTTCTTGGCTTGGGTCACACGTTAGCGTTGTTGTTAGCCAGGGGCTTCAAGGGTGATCGTGTGTTTGTGTGTGTGTGAGCGCGTTTAAAAGGGAGGTACGGGGGCATGCATGGTGACAGAGGATGATACCAATCTAATGAGATAAGAAACGTATGCAAATGAACCTGGCCACAGTTCACACTAATCAGCTTAACACCCCGAGCGATATCAGCTATCTGTCGCATCGCGAGCGTGCGCCGACACACGCATCCACTCTGGCTCTCAGAAGTCAAAACAATCAGTTAGAGGATTTGACATGCCACGTTACTGTTCTCAGAGACACACCAACAGGCCCTATCAACACGCAGTACAGTGAGTCAAACTGTTCGTCCCACCTGTGAACCCAGAGCAATCTAAAAACGCACGATAAAGTTCACGCAATCAACAGCTAGCAGTCAGTAATGATAAGCAGATCTTACACATTGCAGAGGTAAAAACAAAACAAATGGGTGAATAGATGCTATTGTGTATGGGTCATTTCATTCTTGACAAGGTCAAAGGGCCATGGCCAAGGAAAAGACCCAGATAGCTGA